TAAGAGTCCAGGTTCTGCCCCACCAGAACCCACTCAGCTGTGGGTAATAGTCCAGGTTGAAAAATGCATCCAAAGTTTGAACCTTTTTAAAAAAAAAAAAAAAAATTCTCTTTAGAAATATTTTCCTGCGTGTGGAATATGTTGGAGAATCAGAAGCGTATCTTAACATAATTGTATTTGATTAAAAGTCGTCAGATTAATGAAGCCTGCTGTTTTTAATTTGTTTGGAGCTTGTAAAAGTTGTGCCTTGACGTCCTCCCAGCAGCCGTAAGCAGATGTGATTTAGATCTGTGTTTTAATCGGTATTCATATTCTCCACTTGGCCTCACCTCGGTTTGCAGAGCTCGTCGGCATCAGAATTTAAACATTCATCTCTTAATAGATTAATAGATTAATCCGGGGGGTCTATGTCAGTCATCTGATGGATGTCAGCTGAGATGACTGGAAACTGGCTGATTACAAAGGTCTGAGTGTACAGGAACCCTGACCACTCCTCACTATGTCTTTGGATGTAATTTCATGGCTCAAAGGCAGGACACCTCATGGGAAAGCTCCTATAATAGTTATTTAAGCCTTTTGGATGCTGCTGAGTGTAATTAAGCGCCAGGTCCCCGGGGGAGTGGGGGGGGGAGGGGGGGGGGCACAGAGCCTGCTCTCTCTCTCTCTCTCAAGCACCTCCACTTAAACATGTTAAAGAGGCTGTAAATCGCGGCCTCCCTCTCAACAGGGAAATGCACAAATCAATAAACGCTCATCTGTTTCTTTAATATTCTCCCCACATGCCCCCCCCCCCCCCCCCTTTGTTTTTCCCTCCCCCTCCCCCCTGATCGATGCTGGGGCTCCCAGCCCATTGACCTCAGATCGGAGCTGTTCACAGGCGGGTTAATGGGATTGTGATGGACTCGGCCCCAGTTTTCTTTGATTGAGCCGCTGATTCATGGACGGGCCTATCGGATGGCAGCAGGCTGTTTGTGTCGTAGTTCAGGTCTTTGTGATGCGCCTGGTCGTTAAACGAACACCTCCCAGCTTTAATTGACCTAAAGTCGTGGTGTTTGTCCCCTTTGCGCTGATAATTGGGTTCAAACCTCTTCTTCTCACACCCCAAAACAGCTTAATTAATATGAAGTATTCATGGTACAGACTTAGAAACTGTTAGTGGATCAGTTAGTGTGTTTTATCTTCAGGATGTGAGCTAATAAAAGAACAGTGTGACCAAATGCTGGTTAGACTGGTTAAAGATACTTCCATCCATCCTTTTTCTCTACCTGGGCTGTCATGTTCTGTTAAAGCATCTTTATTGGCCTCATTTTTGTTTGACCAGTTTAAACACTGACTACTACGTCTGAAGAATTATTTTTTTTTTTTAAATTATTTTTAAGCACAAAGAACTGAAAAGGTTAAGAACATCTTGTGTTGTAACACTTTATTTTTCAGATTACAGTTGATCATTGAATGTTTTTTTTGTTTTTTTACATCAGTTAAATGCACCATTTTCCATGTTTTGATGGTTTAGAGGCAGAATCGTTAAAATGGAGCTGGAGGCCCCAGAATGGATCTCTTCCCTGTCGCACAGCTGTTTTACTCTGGATTTGAGTTTATAAGCGGCGTCTGTCAGAGTGGACATTTAAATAGACGTCTCATTTATAATCTGGATCCCAGCAGCGAGATTCACGTGGAGCATTTGTTCCTCTTTCCAGAAAACGGTTTATGGAGCTAACGTGGTCATCTTTGAGGGCATCCTGGCCTTTGCCAACAAGGAGCTGCTAAAGGTAAGAACCTTTGACCTTTTTTACTTCCTTCCTTTATTTAAAGTCAGAGGCAGTGAATGCAACACGAGCTGGTACTTAAATCTGAATTTCGAACCCTTTTAGTTTCAAACCGAATGGCACTACCAGAAAAGCTCTGACGAGTTTGTGTCTGTTTTAAAATCAGATTTGACAAATTTCTCTGTTTTAAAATCAGATTTTCTCTGTGTCAGACATGATTTTATGGCTCTGTAAACAAAGAGACCTGAACGAACGTGCTTAACATCTCTAATGTGAAATATTTCGCACAAACAGGGCTCGCGTTCGCCTTTTATTACATATCAAATACCCCGCCGTCATCTTTTTTCTGCCCATATGGAGATAAAATGTGGGCCGACTCGTGTTTGATTTCTCCGATTGAATCTCCGGCCATCGTAAAGCCCAGTGAGTTGTGGGCGTTTTTTTTCTGGGGGTAAAATGTTAATTAGCTTTTATCGGTGCGTGGGGGGGGGGGGGATTCTGCTCGGTTAGAACTGCTGACTCTGCACATGATCCCGGTGGGGACCCTGGGAATCCTCTTTTGGTGGGTCTGAGTCCTGTACCAATGGTCTCCGTTTAGCTTTGGATGGGAGCAGCCCGCTCTGTTAGCTCCCCCTGGTGAACATCTGCAACATCTGGCGGCTGTGTGCAGGAAGCTGTCGGTTCCAGCTGTTATCCTGCAGACGGGCAGATTTCAGACCTGAGGGCGCACATGTTCAGTTTTTCCCTTTTTGAAAGGAGTCATTGGCGTTTTCTCCATCTGTGAAATCAGATTTTTCTTATTCTAGGCCTCTTCCGTCCCCTTTTAGTGGAGCTCACATTATTTAACTGGAATCTTATCAACTATAAAGTAGTCTCTTACTAATTATTTAAACATTTGGAAAGTTGAGGGGTGTTAAAGCCAATCAGAGAGAAATGCCTCACATCCAGTCCACTTGTCATTTATGAGGCGAAACTATCAGCTTTTTTGTTCAGATTCATTCCCCTTCACAGCTATTATCTTGGGCTCATGTAAAAGCATCATTTGTTTGAATTTTTTAGGGTTTCTGAACATGTTCCTGATGGTGAGGGGAAGTCCTAAACAATGAGAGGAGGGTGTCCTTTGTGGAAATGAGTCCTCATGTTCTCCCGTTCATCCTGTGTGTGTGTCTCTGTGTGTGTCTCTGTGTGTGTCTTTGTGTGTGTGTGTGTGTGTGTGTGCGTGCGCTGAAGCGAGGCGATAACACAGCCAGCCTCTCTCTAGCCCATCTGTGTTACTGATTACTCTGATTCAGGCTCTAACAACCTTTGTCTGCTGTGATTAATAGCATTTCAGTCCATTCTTGGAGGGGAGGACGGTTTCGTTACAGATCTGTTGTGTTTTAATAAGGAGGTTTAAAGCTTTAGGAAGCCAACGCCAAGATTTGGTCATATCCCAGCTAGTTTAGATGGTTTATTTCAATAGAAGCATTACGTTTCCACAGTTTTTCTCCTTCTAAAATCGTAGACCCCATCATTTAGCCCTAAGCCTTCCAGGCAGAGTTTACGCACAAACTGCTCTTCATCGATTGACTAAAATCTGAAATGTGTCCAGATGTTCAGGCGCTGGCTGCTGAGCTCAGCGTTTCTGCGCCCAACATGCCACCACATCAGTGCACGCCTTAAATCAATAGCAGAAAGCCCAGCAAATGGATTTTTTCCTCCTCGCAGTTCTTTAACGCGACGCATCATTAGTCGTCCGGCTCCGCTGTTTCAGAGGCTGATCTCACTTCCTGTCACAAAGGGGACGCGTTTGGGGGAGAAAGGTTGAATTTGCGTCTGTGTTGAGACATCTTTCATCCTCCAGTAAATCCCTCAAACTCGTCGACTCCTCACTGGTTTGCTGAGCTGGGTTCAGTTTAACGGAGCTTTGAAGATGAAAGGGGAGGGTAACTTTCTGCACATCTGGATACATTTCAGATGGAAACTAATTTAGAATTAGAACCTTTGCAGCTTTTCTTTCTTTAACGATTGTGTCCTTTTTAAAAATGTCATATCCAGCAGTTAGGATTATTTTTTTTATTTTTTTATTTTTATCCCTACTGAGTTTAAACTGTCATCTATACATTAAGATTATTAAGATATTTTATTTTTATTGTATTTTTCATTTTATGAAAATTGTCTCAAATGGTACAAATAAATTGAAGGAAAGATGCAACTTTTGATGTGCTTTTAGGAAGCAAACTTTATTTATCTTTCTGTCTTCTTTAGGTCCATGATAAAACGTTTAGATTTTCATCTCCAATAGCTGAAATAGTTTCTGACTACCACTTCCATTCGCAGCAGTGATATCAGCTCTGTGATATCACTAAAGGGTGGATTTCTCCTTTCTGGTTCTTGCAGCTTCTGGACATGAAGGTGTTCGTGGATACGGACTCGGACATCCGGCTGATACGGAGGCTGAAGAGGGACATATCCCAGCGCGGGCGGGACATCAGCGGCATCATCAAACAGTACAACAAGTTCGTGAAGCCGGCCTTCGAGCAGTACATCGAGCCCACGGTGCAGGTGGCCGACATCGTGGTCCCCAGAGGTGGGGAGAACTTTGTGGCTCTGGATCTGATAGTTCAGCACGTCCACAGCCAGCTGGAGAAGGTAGGAATCATTCCTTATTCATTCCTTTAGTTCCTCTGTTGAGTTTTATCAGTTAGTTTGTCTTTTACTTCCTCTTCTGAGTTTTATTTGAAGTCCTAGTGTGCCTTTAAGAGGGGAAGCTTCAGGTAGCTGTGACAAAGAAAGCCCCTTTCTGTGTTTGTGGTTTGAGTAATTTGGGAAAAACGGCGCTCTGTTGTGATTAGAATATCAAGGCCTACGTTTTACTTCAAGCCTCATAGATTTTATTGATTCGCCGTCAATTCTTGGTAAATCGTAGCTGGAAAACAGGCCGCCGCCGACAGCTTTAGCCTCTCTCCCACTGATCCCTTATGGATTTTACGGGGCGGAGGCCTGGGCTTGTTGAAGGTGTAAATGTGTGTGTTTTCCGGCTCCAACACCTGCAAAGCTAATGTCCAGATAAGCCCAGTTACACAAAAGCAGGCTCAGACGTCCACCAGTTTATCTGTGTTCAGAAGGGAGGTCAAATGTCCCAAACAGATAAAAGCAGAACAGATCCTTAAAATATGACGTCTATTTACTCTTTTTCCTGAAACGTGCTCAATTTTATATTCTTCTTCTCCCAAAACTGCTCAACTTAATATGAAATTCAATAGATAATTAGGATTTGCATTAATACTGCATTAATACTAAAAAAGTTTTTCCTAATAAAAACTGCTCTTACTGGCACAGAATCAGAAGTTTGAGGCAGTAATTTTTATTTCTGCTTCATGATGGACTAACTGTCTTCAAACAGGTTTAATAGCTCAGCTCTGCAGAGTCCTGCGGTGCGTTCAAAGACCTCTGGGTCAGGTGAATGGAATAAATCAAGCATTTGCTTCACTGTTACTCGAAAGGCACGGAAAGCCTTTGGAGTAAAACCTGAGCTGAAATTAGATTAAGTGCTAATGCGTTCTTATATTTCAAATTTGCGCTGAACTTTTCCTGCTCTGGCCGTCATTCCCTCCCTTCCCTCCACACCTCGGTGCTCTCCGTTAGACGAAGGGCTTTAGCAGTTACTGAGATTAACGACCCTGCAAGGACGCCAGGTGTCCTCCGTCCTTTTTTCGCTCGTCTACCGGCTTTATGACCTGCGACTAACCAGGATCCGTTCGCATTCAGAACTTCAGGCATTTAGGGATCCAAAACTCAGGTTGGCATGATGCTGCGTCCCTCCTCTTTTAGTTTAGTTTTAGTTTCCTCTTTTTTCTACCCATTTAATGATTAGTTGTTTTCTTATTTTTCCCCAAAGATGATGTTACGATTAAAGAAAAGGTGGCTAAACAGATTAATCTGATACAATAGGATGGAAATACAAAAGTTGTAGATCTTTAACCACTTCCACACAAAGGGGAAATTTAGTCCAGGTCTGCAGTTTTTTTTCAGTAAAGGCAGTGGTCCCTGAACTCGCCATCCCAGATGTGATGTATTAAGTAAGCCTTATGCAGTTTAAAAAGCCTTAAAAACATGGATGAGCACTGATTATTTGCTGAAAAAGGCACTGTGTTAATAGCGGTTGAATTGTGCCTTCAGGCCTCTCCGATTCCAACGATCAGCTGAAATATTTCATGTTTGTTTGTACACTTGCGCTAAAGTCCAATATGTGATGCTATTGAACTGTTGCCCAGCCATACGTGAAATTAATGTTGATGCTCGAGGTGTTTCGGGTGGATTGAGTCATTCGTTTTTACAGGCAAACATTTGTTTTTTTGTTTTAAACGTTTGGCTTTTTTAGGAGCTTTGATCACACGTCTCGCTGAAGTGGCTCATCTCATGTTTTTGTTTTCGTGTTTCTTACTGTGTGTACACACTTTGTGGGTGTGTGTGTGTTTGTGTGTGTTTGTCTTCTTGTACGTGCACGGCCCGTCCTTGCCTGGCTGAATGCTGTGTAACCGTTCCAGCGTGAGATCACTGTGAGGTACGACTGTTAGTGCAGTTTTTTATCTTTATTACCTGCTCTTTTTTTTCTCGATGCTGCAGTTCTGACCCCGTTTCCGCTTAAACTTCATTTGAAAACGCAGATTAAGCCAACAGCTGTCTCTACTTTTCTTTAACCTGCCTGTGTTTTACCCAAAGACTATAAATAAATGGGTGCAGCCACCAGAATGGAGCGCCTCCACATGCAATACCCCTTACAGCCACTAGGGTCACAAAAAGCATCTTTTGTCTTAACGTCAAATAAAAAGGTAAAAATAGAACTCTTTTCTCTCTAAACATACATATATTTTAAAGCTGGTTCTTGTGTAATTAACTGGATGAACTCTGATTATTTAGTTAACATAAAAGCTCAAAGAGCTTTAAAAAAACTTGGCGTCCTTGTGGCTCCTTCCACTTATATATAAGTTAAGGGTCTTTTGCTTTTGTGTGCGCTGCTTGTGAGTCTGCGCTGGTTATCAAAGTCACATCTTTGTTTTAACTTCATTGAACTCTTGAATATCCACCAGTTCGCCTTCAACATTTCCTAAAATAATGAAACAGCTTTTTTGAAGATTTCCTTAAGAAACATGGTGTTTTTTTCACAAATGGGGCTCCCAACAACCCAGATTCATCTAGTTTCAAACTTTCAAAGTCCAGAATGATATTGTAAAACTTCTTGGATAGCTCAGAGAGCTCAAAAGGCACCGTGTACTCGTCCCGCTGTAAGCTGGGGTCGTTTAGCTTTCAGGCCGCCGGCGTTTCGGCTTGTTCGCTCAATTAAGTCGTCACACCAGGCGCCCGAAGTCCAGAAAACCTGAGCCCCTTGAAGGCAGCAGGCGGCAAACCAGGAAGCACCTGTACCAGCGGCGTGCCCCTGCTGCCTATCTGCTAACGCCCTCCCTTCTCTTCCTTTTCTCTCTCTCTCTCCTTGTGCTTCCCTCTGCCTCCCCCCTCCACTTTAAACCCTTAAATCGTCATTGAAAACGTCTCCACCTTCAGAGGAAGCTCCGCTGGGATATGTGAGGCCCGCCTCGTGCACCTGTGACACTTTTTTCTCATGCTTTTGACTCATTTTCTGTGCATGCTCGATTCCTCTGGGAGAGCCTGAGAGCAGAAAGCTGCCCCAGGGCTCCAGAGCATGCGTCTGACAGCATGCTTACCTGGAGGAGGTTGGCGGAAAAACACAGAAACTCGCACTGGCTTTCTCCTTTCTAATGGCATGACGGCTATAAAAAATGTGCCCCCCTCCAACTCCCCATTTTCTCAAAAGATGCCGCATGACGACGCCCCCCCCTCCAGACACGTGTTGGAGTCACAAATCAGACTCAATGTAGAGGATATTAAGCCAAAGAGTCCGAAGAAAATGACTACAAAACCTCTTTATAAAACCAAAACTGGTGGCGTTGCAGAGATCTGCTGCTTCTAACCTCACATCTGCCTGCTCTGGTTTCTTCACCGTTCCTTTTCCCCCCAAAACGTGCTTTTACTTGCTTTACTTTAAAGCCAAAGCTTTCCCTCATGATCTGTTTGTGAATTAAATGTTGAAAAAAATTGAAAAATATACCATCTAATGGCCATCAGTCTTGTCTGTACTCATATTTGATGAATGTACATGTTATGGTTCATTCATAACAAGATTTAACTATTTTTTTCTGGACTTTTGCCACAGTTTTCTTCCCTGTTGCACCCCTTAATCTCGAGGGGGGGGTTGTTGGGAAAAGCCTGACAAAAAGATGGGCTGTAGAAATAGTTTAGACTGGCAAAAGATCTAAAAAAAAAAAAAAATGCCCCATTTAAAACGTCTCACTAATCTCAGTGATTTTATTTTATTTTTCTTAGTTTTGAATGAAAAGGAGAGCGGGCTGATCTGATTGGCCGGCTCTCAGTGTCCTATCTGTGTGGCCTTGTTTACACTGGCCAGACATTTTTTTAAAAATGGCCTATTTAAAACGTCTCACTAATCTCAGTGATTTTATTTTATTTTTCTTAGTTTAAAATGAAAATAAGAGCGGGCTGATCTGATTGGCCGGTTCTGAGTGTCCTCTCCCTGCAGGTCGGCTCTGGCCTCGGCCCACCAGGGCCAGCCGCTGCCCAAAACGCTGAGCGTGCTGCAGAGCACGCCGCAGGTGCGCGGCATGCACACCATCATCAGGTCAGGACCCGGGGGGGGGAGCGGGGGTGG